GAATGGAGGATATCCCACTAACAAGATATAGAGAATAACACCTGACAGAAAACAAAGTGGGGGGGAAATAGATCATGTTACAATACTTCCATTATTCTTCATTCAACTTCAGCAAACTCAATGTGACAACATTTACAATAAGAATATTATGTGTTTTGGTTGTAATGTCTTTCTGAAGAACCTCTCAAAACTTCTTTCTTTCTGAGAGACACATTTAACCTACGGCTAAATTATTTCACATTTACATTTCAAAAACGAAAACTACCTTCAAATAGTAGTTTGCAAGGCTGTCAAATTGGTTAATTTGACTAAAAAAACAAGCATGGCCAGAGTTTGGTGTTTGTAACAAGCAGATTGCAACAGGTCTATTGCCCAAAGATGAGGCTGAAGACTCACCACAAGCCCATATGTCCACAGGCTTGCCGTAGGGGTCCTTCCTCAGGACTTCAGGGGAGAGATAGCCTGGAGTGCCCGCAAACCCTGCGCGACAGACGAACAAGAGAACACAATTAACTGATGCCTCGTAATTCTGATGACGGCTATTTCAGTGCAGTTATGTGACTGGTTCAGATGATAGTGACTTGTTGGACTCCCAACGCCAGACCAGATTACGGCAGTGTAGAGTCACAAGCAAATACCCGTTAATCATCTCGTCCCCGCTGGAAAGCCAGCCAAACGCTAGCAGCTCGGCTGTTAGCCAAGACACAATGGTCCAGCCATGAACTGAGAAGTGTCTGTGAGCCTCTTAAGCAACGCTCGCACAAATATTCTTTGGCTTCAGAGTGGGCAGGTGGACGTGTATCTGTATGAATGAGGGCCCATTCAGCAGTGATTTGTATGCTTAAGCATAAAAACTATCGAGTGCTTAACACCCAGATAGAATAACAGATCAGTTAACGCTCCAGCATGTTTGATATGCGTGTGTCACTGTTTGTGTTTTCTTACCAAACCAAGCCTGCTGGTCTCCCTGCACTTCAATAGCAAGGCCAAAGTCTGCCAGCTTCACTGCAGCTCCCTTCATCTTACTGGCCAACAACAGGTTCTCAGGCTGGGAGAGACACACACACGGTGAAGCAGAATGTAGGACAAGAGATCAAGACAGTGAGAGACAGATAGTGACAGGCACTCTTCAGTAAAGCTCTTTCTTAGAAATATTCATATTTGATGTACTCGACGCAGCTTGCGTGGGGGTTGGGTAAAGGTGTTAGAAAGCGATGGAAAGACGGAGGATGTAGAGAGAGGATGGGTGGTTGAGAATCTCCACAAAGCCTTATATGGGCATAGATTCGTAGCCATAGAAACCACTCGGGAGTCATTTAGGCAGCGCTGCAGACTGCATGCTAAATGGAAAGTGTACTTAGCGAGAGGCAGCGTGTGTGGCAGCGTTCTAAATGGCCGTTGTTTGGGCAGTAGGACATAAATGGCCGCAGTAAAAGCCCACTCAGGATAAAAGGCCAACAAATCAGACAGGCAGCGCTCGAGGTAATAGCGTTATTCTCCGACACAGAGCACGCACACACAAAAGCCGCCCACACGTGTCTGAGATTGTTTGTTCCACACCTTGCGGTGAAAAAGGTACAATTCAATACATATTATTACTGTCCTTCCTACCGGGATTATTATCATCACCTTAAACTGGGTTAAGTAGAAAACAGGAGGTGACAGAGAAGCTCTCTTCCTCTACTCTTCGCATTTGAGCCTATCAGAAATTTGGCACCATTTAAGCCCCTCCCCCGCTGCTCCATGGGTGGTGTGATGTCACATGGGTTGTCCTGGCAACTCCTGAGGTTTATCTATGTCTTCACCTCCTCTCTCATAATAGAGCCCCTTTCACAACAGTACAAAGTGTGTGTGTGTGTGTGTGCGTGCGTGTGTGCGTGTGCGTGTGTGTGTGCGCTCATGTGCCTGTTTGAGTCCTTGTCTTTTCCTTGCCATAGGTGAGAGACCAACCCCACCACGTGATCATGACTCACCATCTCTGCGCTTGACATGAACACACACGCATGCGGGTACTCACACACACACACACAGACACACACAGAGACACACACAGAGACACACACAGAGACACACACACAGACGACACACACAGACAAGCTGACAGATCTGACGACAGAGAGACGAATAGAGGTTAAAAAACACTAGATGGGAGAGGGACGCAGGGGAAAAACAAAAAGGGATAAAAGCAAAAATGCAGAGGGAAAGAGAGATAGAGAGATAGAGAGATGGAGAAACTGAGAGCCATCTGTGTGTTGCCATGGCCACGAGCAGAGGTGTGTGTGAGTGTGTGGTTGTCACGGCAACGGGCAGCCACTCACCTTGAGGTCTCTGTGCACAATATCATGCTGGTGGATATGATTGACACTCTCCAAGATCTGACTAATGCAATGACTACGGAGAGAGAAAAGGGGACAAATAGAGAAAGATGTCAGTCACTGCCCTTCATTACAAAGAATAAATAAATAAATCACATATAGTCTTATCATTCTTCTTCACTCATTCTTATGAGGATTAATAACATGCAACCAGTACTGTTTGCATTTGGTCAATCCGACCTTTTAACAACCCTTTAAAATGTATGTCTATATCGTTGGGGAGCTGAAATATGAACCATTTATGAACTATTTAAATATAGGATGTAAAGCCAAAACAATTAGTCAATCGACAGAAAATTAGCTGGCACCTATGCTGATAATTACTCATCCGTTTAAGCGATTTTCCAAGCAAAATGCCAAACAGTACCTTGTTACAGCTTCTTGAATGTAAGGATTTGCAGATTTCTCTATTTTATATCTTTATGAATTGAATATCTTTGGGTTTTGGACTGGTGGTCAAACAAACTAAAGCATTACCGAGACGTTAATGTGGGCTCTGGGAAAGTGTGATGGGCATTTTTCACAATTTTCCAAACAATTAACTGAGAAAATAACCAATACATAAATCAATAAGGACTTTTTTTATATGCCTAAAAGCATACAAATCACCAATATTATGTTCTAATACAATACAGGTTACACTTGAGGCCAAGTTGCATAACAAACATTTACTATACACTATTATTTTTCAAAGACATAATCCAGGTACTGTAGTTTAAGAAATCAATACCAAGAAACTTGTGTAGGAGGTCTAACACCACACAGTCAATAAATCTCTATCCCAGTAGCAATTTTAATAATGGGGGCGTCAATTCAGCTGCTACCAATACCATTATTTCTCAATTCTGGCTGGAGAGCATGTTTTCACACTAGCTTGGTTACTGCTGGCTCATGATGGGTCTTGTAAAATGTTCCTACAAGCCAGTAACCGACCACCGTATTACTGTCCTACGCACTGTGGTGTCAGGCTTCTAATTCCACTATTTGAGGCTCATATTCATGTCACATCTCTGTAAAGGTTAATGGGTCAAAGGCTGTGTCCCAGCTGGAGAGAGCGAGGCAATCCACACGGCTTGGTTTGTGTGTGTTCGGTGTTCGGTGTGTGTGTGTGTGTGTGCACGCAACACATGGGGGGGCTTTGAAAACGCACAAAGACCCCTTAATCCAATTGTGCTACAGACTTCACAGGCTGCACAGCACATAGTCACAGAGAAAAAAGGGAGGAGGGTCTCTGAGGAGAAGGAAGAAGTGAGGAAGGAGAGAAAGCTTAAATGTCACAGTGTCAACCAAATGTCAGAAAGTAGTGTAAAATGCTCAGCACCATTTCAGAAAAGCCACGCTGATGTCTTCAAATCGCCTGTATTGTCCAATCAATAGCCCAAACCCCAAGGATAGCCAATTTACAATAATATAACACAGGAAAGGCAAGCTACAAACATCAATTAATCGATAATCAAAATTTGTGGTGTATTTATCGTTTCGGTGCTACGTAGCGGGAGGATGGAGAGCGACTCAAGAGAGGAGACAAGTATATTGATGCACTTGTTGACAAGGGAACACATTTGCTGACAAGAATACAAGCAAACCAATTATATCCACCACTGTGTGCCTGTGTTCACATTCACGAAATGATTGAGTATTCACATGTTTAATGGGATTAGGCTGTACGTCTGCAGCAGTGTGTGTGTGTGTGTGTGTGTGTGTGTGTGTGCACACACGTGTGTGTGTGTGTGTGCGTGTTGTGTTCATATACTTTCCAAAGCAAGCTCATGCCGAGCCTCTACATGGGCATCAGCCTCACTGTAGTACTCCCTGGCTACAATGTCTTCAAACAGCTCTCCCCCTGTCACCCTGGGAGGGGGAGGGCAGCGAGGAATGAAAGAAAGAGGAGGAGGAGGAGGAAAGAAAGACAGAGAGAGACGGGGAGGCAGGAGAGAGAAGTTGTTAGCATACACACACGAACTGCAGTCACACGCATGGATAAAATGTCACTGTGTGTGTGTGTGTGTACAGAATTTACTCACAGGTCAAAGACTAGGTAATGAAATCCTTCCTCTGAAATGCTGTCATGGAGTCTCACTGCAAGAGAGAGAGGAGGGGGGCAGTGAGACAGAGATATAAAGACAGGAGTCAGGGTAAAAGAAGGAATTGCTGTAGTGTTTGACTGGTAAACCTCCCCGTAAACTGAGACCAAGAGAATAATAAAACAAAAATGGAGAGTCGGCTGTGACGTAGTGAGTTTCTTTTCCCTCTCGCCCAGCGATGTGACGTCCACTCACCCAGCGATTAGGCAAATAACCACCATTTATTGGAAACTCGCTCCCACACGCACGTGATTGCTGAAGTTGAATGTCAGTGTTGGGAAAGAGTTTTGTTTGTGGTCAAATTACAGGTTGTTACGCCACTGTGATTGCATCTCCTGACATGGCACAACACGAGCGATAAAGATGGTTAGCAGCATTTAAAAGTGTTGTAGGTTTACCAGTCCTGCGATACTTTAACCGTATCCACAGGCATTACAGTGCGGTCCAACACAGAACGTAGGGGTGTTTAGTTTTTACCATCTTTGCCTTTATTTGACAGTTTAGATACAAACAAGAGGAGAGGGAGATGGAGACGGGCATGACATGCAACAACGTTTTCTGGCTACAATAGAATCGGGGCTTGTAGTTTTATGGTATGTGCCTTAAGCCCAAGGTTATTAAGAGTATTTGGCCATAACAAATAAGTAGTTACAGAGTGCCACGTTCACGTAATGTTCTGTGGATGTGTGGAAGCTGAGGATTTAACTTAATGATTGTCAAGCTGATCAGAGAAATAGGCAGATTAATGAATTTTTATTGTTTTGTACACCCACTTTTTGTGAAGACGTCTCTATTCTTAATTCTGTTCAAAGCTCTGACTGGGGACCAGGGAACAAGGCACAACACTAGACCTACAATATGTGAATAACTGAAACAATAAATTGCAAATGTGGGCATTGATTCTGGGTCCAGGAGAGGTTTGTTTTAAAAAAAAAAAAAAGGCTTTTTATCAGTAATGTTTCACGATTACTGATGGAGATAAGTGAGCATTTGGTCAGTGGTGATTACAGTAATGAGCTCATATTACCACAATACTGCGGTTATGCGGTAACCATCGCAGCTCTACTGTCAACATAACAAAACAGCAGCAGAATGACAAAGCAGGAGCCAGGCTGCAGGAGTCAGGCTGCAGGAGCCAGGCGTTAGAGGACGGGCCTGAGATACAGCTTAGGTTTAGTGTCGCGGAGCCACAGTTATCGTTATGTAAAATGAATATCAGTTGTATAATAAGATGAAGTAGGATGGCCCTGCAGCAAGAAACAAGAGCGACTGCTCTTTCCTCCTCCTCCCATCTTCTTGCTCTCCCTCCATCTGTCTCCTACTCCTCCTGCTTTCGTCTCTCCATCTGTCTCTTTTTTTCGTGCCCTCTTTTGTCCAAAGTTTGAACGCAGACGATGCCAAAATATGTCAAAAAGAGGAGGAAGGACAAGAGAGAGAGAAAAATCTATACAGAGAAGGGAAGAGAACAGGAAAAGTAGGCGAGGGGCGAATGAGCGCCGGAGGGGCCGACAGAAAACTAGGACACGAGGAAAAGAGAAATAAGGAGTGCAGTGGGAAAGGTGTCATTGATTTAGTCATATTCCCCCTGTTTGCCCTTTAACACCCATCCTCTTGACATCTCCATTGGAGCAGCACAATGCATTTTATTCTTCAATCATCACTGCAATACAGATTTCCACAATTAACACGCTGTGACGGGCTGTGACATCAGAGCGGTCAGATGAAACAAAGTCACGAAAGCAGAGGACATGTCTGACAAAGGGGAAGACAACCTTCTGTCCCCTCTCAGTCTGGCTGGGTTTACGGCACGAACGGCGACGTCATCCACACATCCCCTTTTGTTTCCGTTGTCACGACAACTGCACAAGCGATTTGAACAAGACTCACAAAATTCACACCAAGGCTAGCAGTGCTGAGCTGTTCGCATCTCGATAACAACGCAAAGTAGTAATGTTGAAACTCTGGCTAAAACTCAGTGACTCAGGATCATTGCTTTGGGATCTCTAATATACGGATTGTGAATTAAGTGATTGGTGATCAGATCAAATATTGATGATTGAAGATATCCAATATTAAGGCACTAAATTGTTCCTTAATAAAATCTGCTTCCTCCTGTGCATTCACAGGAGATGTTTCTGGAGGAAGTGATGAAGATCACTGTTAATCAGCGTAAGTGACTCTGATCCTTCATTCAAAGCAACCCTGTTAGCGATCCCTCTTCCACTCTGACAGTGAGCGGTGCAATCTGACAAAAACCCTGCGTCTCCATTTTCCATACGCCGGCTCACCAAAGCTTTGCTCTGGGACTGACAGCAGCTGCGCGGTGAGATCGTCTATATTGACACTTAAAATGAGCGATTAAAGTTACTACATCAGTTTAGACTCGCTGGGCCACATTCAGTGATATGTATAATAATAATAATAATACATTTTATTTAAAAAGCGCTTTTCTGAATACTCAAAGACACTGTACAATA